AAGGAGGGCTGGAGGGAGGTGGAGGGGGGCTGGGAGCAGAGGGTTTTGGTGGCAAGGTGGGGAGAAGATGGGGGATCAGTAGGGTCTGTGGAGTCTGGGGGGGGTTATAGCGGGGGTGGAGGTGCAGTTTGGGGGAATAACTGGATAAAAGACAGCACAGAGATGGGGGGCATAGGATAGAACAAAGGATCAGATGCAGGGTAGGAGTAGGGAAGAATCACAGACACTTGGGGGGGGGTCTCTTCTGTGCTATTCACTCCCATTGGTGCCAAGACAGCTCCGCAGTTGGGCACTGGGAAGGTGAAAGGTTACAGGAAGCTAAATACTGAACCCAGATGTGCTGATTCAGTGCATCCTTCTGCAGCTGTCAACCAAGTCCCTCCCTGGTCACCCCCGTGCTGCCCCTGTGGGGAAGAATCACAGACACTTGGGGGGGGGTCTCTTCTGTGCTATTCACTCCCATTGGTGCCAAGACAGCTCCGCAGTTGGGCACTGGGAAGGTGAAAGGTTACAGGAAGCTAAATACTGAACCCAGATGTGCTGATTCAGTGCATCCTTCTGCAGCTGTCAACCAAGTCCCTCCCTGGTCACCCCCGTGCTGCCCCTGTGGGGAATGTAGCTCCTTTTATGATGCTTGTTTTATGACTCACAGGCAGATGCTGTGATTCTTGTATGTACTGATGAAGGAAAAATGCTACACATACTATGAACATGGTTGAGTTTAAACTCATGCAGACCCGCAGAACGCCCTAGGAGGGAGGGAGTTGTGAGATATAAAAGTCAGGTTTTGTCATCACTTGCCAAGTGAGGAACATGAGGTTGTTCCCTAGCTGGGAAGTTGGCTTTAGAGCACAATCAAACCTGTACGTCTGTTCTGCTTAGGCCCCCAGCAGCAGGCCACCAACTTCAGAAATAGTGCCAGGTTGGTCTCAAGCACAGGTTTTAGCATCAAGGTCTTAATTTTTATTATTCAGGGTGTCTCTGCCTCAGTTTCCCCGTTGGTTAAATGTTCCAATCCTTCAGCTACCCTTAGGGCATGTCTCCGCTGGGGAGTTATTTTGAAATAACTCCCCTTATTTCGAAATAAGGTATTCGAAATAATGGGCTTATTATTTTGAAATAACTACTCCTGCTTGTGAAGAGGAATAAGCTTATTTTGAAATAGTTATTTTGGAAGTTATTATTTCAAAATAACTTATCTTGATATAATGTGATAGTGTAAACATAGCCTCAGTGATTTCCTGGGTGGAGAGGAAACATCATTAACATCTGTAAAGTGCTTTGAAATCCTTGATTGGCAAGTTCTCTCTACACAGATGTGTATTTTTGTTATTATTACTGTTCTAGGGCTTCTAAATTATTTAGCAAGAACTGTTTTCAGCACCCAGAAGTAGCCTCTACAGTGCTATCACCATCAGTAAACCCAGCCACTGCACCCTGCATGCACAAACATGAAAGTCTGTGGCTATAGGAGTATGTGCTCACAAGTCTCAGTGCACTGAGCCCAAAAGCTATTACACTGCATTTCATTTTAAATTATATGAGCAATTTGGTCTGGGTCAGGGGTTAGTTGTAATTTTAAAATATCATCTCAAAGGCTCACTTTTATTTAAAAATTAATACAAATCTTGGAAGTAAGGAAGCAACTGATGAGCCCAGAGCTGTTTAGTATACTTGGATCCAATCTGCTCTTCAAGGTGAGGTTCAAGTTGTCGTCTCTGAAGATCTTGGGAACCAGATGGAAAAGACCCACTAGTGCAAGATTGTCCCTTCTGCACTGTATTCTGTTCCTAGCACCTAGCTAACAGGCCTGTACACATAAGCATTGTACACCTATCACAAATGAGAAGCTTCAGTTCAAAGCCACCGCCCTCCCCACATAAATGGATTGATTAGACACCATTTGCAAACTACAGTTTATTGAGATGTTTTTTTCTTGGTCCAAAAATTCAAAGTACATCCAGTCACATATATCCAGCTCCTAGATATACCAATAAACCTCAGTTCTCACTCTGTTGGAGGACATGCAAATTGAGAGAAACTAACTTTCCAAAGAGTGATGAATGCAAACTTTTATAGTTTATAAGAAAATATAACTTTATATACAGCATGTGTGTTAAATAACCAAGTTACAACGATAAGGAAACCAGAAAGTAGCTTTGAAGAAAGTCAGGCAGAAATAAACTTATCTAGAATCAAAGGAAAACATAAAGACCAAGTCCAATGTCTGATCTGATCTCATATGCTCTGCTGTAAATCGGGATTAACTCAATTTAAGTGAATGGTGTTATGCTATGTAAAACTGGTGTAAGTGAGAGGAAAAGTGTTCCGTGTATACCTACTCTTTTCCAGGATTATCTTGTTCCTCTTTATTTTGTTAACATCTTTTCCAGACCTAATTCACAGGCCTTTCAGCTCATTTATACAGTGACAGGACATCAAGAGAAAACTGCCATGTCATTACAGAACAAAGCTGAACCTAAGTGGTGCAGGTGTTTGAGCCTCTGAGGACAGCAGTCCTGGGATGGGATCATGGCATGACCCTGGCCTTCAATTATAATATGAGAAAGGGAATAGTTCTGACCTCAGGCTCTCTCATATAAATCGCAGTGACTTTGGCGGGTGTTGAATATGCATATCCAAAGTCAGAGTTCTGCCAAAACTTTTCAAGGGTTTGAACTCAGTGTAGTAACTATCTGTTCTGTCACAGAGGGAACAAGGGTTCTGTTCTAGTATGTAAGGCTACGTCTTCACTGGCACCCTTTTCCGGAAATGCTTAAAACGGAACAGTTTTCCGTTATAAGTATTTCCGGAAAAAGCGCGTCTACATTGGCAGGATGCTTTTCCGGAAAAGCGTCCGTGCAAATGTAGACGTGCTTTTCCACAAAAAAGCCCCGATTGTCATTTTCGCGATCGGGGCTTTTTTGCGGAAAAGAAATCTGTGCTGTCTACACTGGCCCTTTTCCGGAACAGTTTTCCGGAAAAAGACTTTTGCCCGAACGGGAGCAGCATAGTTTTTCCGGAAAAGCACTGATGATTTTACAGTAGATTGTCAGTGCTTTTCCGGAAATTCAAGGGACCAGTGTAGACAGCTGGCAAGTTATTCCGGAAAAGTAGCTGATTTTCCGGAACAAGTGGCCAGTGTAGACACAGCCTAAGTGTTTTTAGTACTGATGAAGTGCTTGGATGACAGTGCTACAGAATTAAATCTACAGAACATTTGTGGGTAGTGCATGTTTCCTTCTCTGTGCTGCCTCCAAATGTACTTCGCCCATGCCCTGAAGAAAACACAGGACAGTAAGTGGCTCCAAGGCTTATTCAGTCCTTGGCCCCTCTGCTATGATTGGCTACAGGAGATTCGATGGTGACAGTGGTTATGGTGATGTGAAACCACTAAGAACAGGACTGAGATTGCCAACTTATTCCATCTAGACCATCAGCCAGTGATTGCTTGAGTGGTGATCAGAGTCACTACTGAGCAAAACTGAACTGAAACAGATGACCTACAAGTGAGAGGTACTGTCGCAATAGCAATTATGTCAGCCATCGACTCACCATAGATAACTCCAACATTGCTCATCTCTTAAAAGCAGAGAGGGATACAGGACGGATATGTGGAGGCCTTTTGAAAAATTACTGTTTTAATTATTTCCATAAAATGGACAAGTCTCACCTAAAACACACAACTCTTACTGAAATTAAGCAGACTAGTAAAACTTGAATTAAAAGTCATTTAAGAGAAATTGCAATTGAAATGCAACAATGCATTTCTGTATGATAAACTCATGCAGTCTTACAGCGACTTACTAAAACACATGCAACAGGGAAACCAGTGATTTTCCAGGGAGGAAGAGAATTTCTGTTTCTTTTCAGGACTGATACTGCTTTTCTCCCATTGAGGAACTTTCCCAAATGCTGATGTTTCAGCTGCTGTTTGTAAAGACAAGTATGTGTAAATCAGCCCACGAACTGGAACAGATCAATAATGGTCTACCATGTTTTACCAGTGGGGTCAGAAAGCTATCCAAGCCCTTCCTGCATACAGAGGAAGTAATAAGACAAACTATGTGTAATTCCTGTTTATACAAGAAACAGCTGGTAAAATATAAAACCAATAGGAACTAGTTGTACTTTTGTAGTAAAATAAAGCTAGTCATTGAACACACTTGGTGTGCGGTGTTAACAGGAGACTGTATAAAACACACAGACATTCTCTAGAAAATGAGTAAACTACAGCACAGTATTGTGGAAATATACAGAAAGCACTTGCACTGGTATAAAAATATACACCTCAGACAATGATGTAAACTGGTACAAAATAATTCCAATAAACAGGAATGAGTTTACAAAAGGTCACATTACTATAAAATAATAAAACCACGTTTTCTTCGTCTCCCAAGCTCATGCGCACAACTCAGACAAGCAGGCAGCCCAACAAAGGGGCACGTGTACCAAAGGTGAACAGACTGAGGCTGGACTCACTGTTTGACCTTTTCAGTCAATAGTGCCTGTTTGGTGCAGACTGCAGCCAGCCTTGCAGAAACCTGACTGCCTGGCAGTAGGAAAGCAAAGCCCAGCTCCCGAAGGGTATATCTAGACTGCAATAAAATACCCATGGTTAGCTTGTGTCAGCTGACTTGGGTTCAGGCTACAGGGCTATACAATTGCATTATAGCTGTTTGGGCTCATTCTGGATTCAGAGCTTGGGCTCCAGCCTGATTTAAAGGTTTACACGGCAAGTTTATAGCCCCACGCATCCTAACAGATATTGTAGCATGTGTTCTCCAACTCACCATCTTCTACTCCATTAGGTGCCAAAGAAAAAGCATGCTGGGAACTGGGATGGTACTGCTGTTGCTAAGTCACAACGTCTATCCTACAGGTTTGGTTATTTGCTTAATGGCCTTGTCAGTCAGTGAACATCAAGTGCATGGTGACGCCTGCACAGAGAAAGCTGGAAAAAGGAATACAGATGCACCAACAGAATAGACTCTGTCACTTCATCTCTGACGAAACAGTCCTGCTTGTTCCCTGGGAGAGTAGATGAGATCTTCTGTCTGCCCTGCTGGACATATGGTAAGGGCAGGGATGGTAATGGCTACAAGGAAAAGGAGCTGGCAAAAGGAGAAGCAAAAGTACCTCATCACCTCTGCTGGGAAGTTAGGAAGGTTCCTGCTTCCTCCTCTGAAACAAAAATCCATTGGCTGTTAGGTAAGCACCTGGTTACCAAAGAGTTCCAGGGCAATAAAGGGGCTCAGATCTGACTGCAAGTTGGTAGGCAAACAGCAGAAGCAAGCCTAGGAAGTGGAAGCCTGCATCTGGGAAGAAAGACAAGGTTGATCTTTGCTTTGGTACTGCTCAGCACAATCCACAGACTTCTTTCACTGTCAAGTTCCTAGTGCTCTTTGTGTGGAGAGGCTGCAGAGTTCACTGGCGGGAGCACTGCCCCTTCGGCCCCATACCTCAGGAATGGATTTGGTCAGACCTTCTGGCAGAAACTAGAATCTAGCAGCATTTTCTGATCCATGAGGGCAGAACTTATTGTTTCAGGGATCAGGGCAGGTTTGTATAATACTGAATGTGTCAAATCAGAGCTGAAACCTGCAGACCCCAAACAGCAGCAGGCGTTTCAGGGGGTGGGGGAACCAGGAGAATGGAGAAACACGTCATTAAGGCCTCCAGGGTTTTATTGACAGGACAAAGCAAGATGAGTCTTTCCCATCAACCTGTAAATTCAGTCTTACAACACTGTTTGCATTTGGCCATGGAAAGCTAGACGCCAGGCATCCTCGCACACAAAAAAGTGTTTTACCCGTTGTTTGAGAGAAGTCCTCTCTTTTGGCAGCTTGAATTGGATGTGTCCCAGCTTATGCTCTTTTTGGTCATTCTCTCTGAGCAGTGCAGCCAGTGACAGGTCCCCACAAAAACAAGACCCACAAGTCCGATTAGTTTTCCCCATGATCCTCTTCCACCCAGGCTACAATTTTCCCTTCCCAACCAGGAATGATGTCATCATCATGGAACACCTATAAAAAGGCAGAGAGATAATCGGGTCACTTCTGGAGATAGGCACTGCTTTGTTACATCTGCATAGCATGAGAGACAGAGGTACAGGTTGAACATCCCTAGGCCGGCACCCTTGGGACCGGACTGGTGCCAAACCAGAAAATTTGCTGAATGTCATGAGGTCAATATAGTCTGGCAGCATTACTAACAATTCCACTGCTTGCTGGGCTCTTAGAAGACATATTGGGGGTAAATTAGAGCTAAATAACAGCACAGAACACTGAGAGCCAGGACTGGTGGCTGTAAACAAACTTTATGGGACTGCAGGAAACTTGGCCACACCCATGATAAGTGGATATCCAGCTCACTACAATCATTCCAGACCATTGATGTTGCTGGACCAGAGATTATTAGACTAGAGAGATTGAACCTGTTTTATTATACCAAACAATACAAATAACTGGCACTTACACAGCTCAGTAAGGCTATATCTAGACTGCAGGCTTCTTTCAGAAGCCGCTTTTCTGGAGGAGATCTGCCAAAAAAAACTTCTTCTGAAAGAAAGCATCCACATAGAAAACCTTCTTCTGAAAGAAAGCATCCACATACAATAAGCACATCGAAAAAGTGATGTGCTTTTTTGACAGATAGCTCCACACTGCAACAGTGCATTGAAACAGTGATTTGATTTTTTGACAGATAGCTTCCACACTGAATGACCGCTATCTCGCATGTAAGCAGTGATTACTATGGGCGGAATGGCCATCAGGGATTAAGAGTTCTTTCGGAAAAGGGCCTCTTTCTCATAGAAAGAGGTTTACCAATGCTGGAAAAAAACCTCAGTTCTTTCGATTTTTTTTTTTCAAAAGAACGTGATTGCAGTGTGGATGTAAGTGAAGTATTTCCGGAAAAACGGCTGTTTCTGAAAAAAACCTCTGCAGTGTAGACATACTCTAAGTTCCCAACATGCTTTAAAAACAGCTTGCTCCTCCCCCTCAAAGAAAAATCGAGGATTATTATCCCAATTTTTCTGATAGGCTATGTGAGGTGCAGAGAAGGATCATGATTTTCTCAAGGTCCACAGGGAGGGAAGGCAGCATCAGAGCGGTCCACAGGGAGGGAAGGCAGCATCAGTTTAATGGGATTAAAACTTGAGAACACCTGGCTCCCAGTCAAGTGCTCAGAATGTTAGATTGTCTCTGGAGAAACTGGCACTGATGTATTCTTAACAGACGTTTCTGAGGGAAGGGAGCCCCTGAAGGGTTACTGTGTGGAGAAGGAAGAGGACCTTTGCTGCATGAAAACAGCAAATTACAAACCAAGAACCACATTCAGCTGTGGCATAAATAGGCTCTTTGACCTTAACAGGAATTGCAGCACTTATGCCAGAGCTGACTCTGGCCCCAAGTATTTAGGATAGTTTAAAGAAAGCCCATCTCTACCAGCTTGGCTCACAACCGTGGGCCACAGAGCCACAACTGGAACAAATGCAGCAATGGCATAGATGGAGAAATGGATCAAATCCCGTTGGCCTGTCCCATTCAGGAGACTTCTCTGACATCAGTAAGATGCAAACAGCCCAACAATTTGATATAGGACAGTGCTACCCAAAGAGCTGGGTGCTGATCTTGCAGGTTGCAACTCAGGTGTCACATTGGCTCTACTTCCTCCAAATCAAGCTATGAACAGAGTTTGGAAGGATAAACTGAGTGTCTGCTTTGTTTGGAAGACTCTCTTTCTGCTACAGAACGTAGGAGACCATCTGATAGTTGCCTTTTAAAGATACAATTTGGAATCTGCATCCCCCAAATAGTACGGTCACAGGGAGCATCTCTGGAATCAGCTGGCACTGTGAAGGCGGACCCTGCAAATCACCATCCACCACTTGTGCTGCTTTGCGATCACATGAAAGTCAGTGCTTTGAGTGGGGCCTGAAGACGTCTGCTTTTGGCTCTTTACTTGGGGCCTGTCATCCCATAAAGTGTAGCTCTGGAAACGGTAGCTTTGTAGCAAGTTAGAGATTTCACTCACATGGGATGTGAATCTGGCAGAGATTTCCAGGCTGTTGCTTGTGCTGTGATCTCACACACAAACTTAGATTATGAGAGAGCTGCTACTAAAGGGGTCAAAGATACCTCCTCCTTGACTGTGCCAAATTCGGGATCCAGGGCTTTGAAATGATACCGGTGGGTTCCTTCCCGATCGATAGCTGCCTTGAAGTCCTTCAGAGTCACCTCACCTAACCTGCAAAACAAGAGTTAAAAGCAATCTTTGCTGACACGTTCTGCCACAGGATTAAGATCGAGAGCTTGGACACAGCTATCATATGGCACATTGAACATCGGCACCAGCCTGGATATTGTGGCACAATGGACAGTACACTGAAGGGAGCCAGAGTGTCTGGAAAATACCGAGTGCGACCCAAAGCATCTGATCACAGACAGAATAGTGTTTGGCTTTTACCGAAAACAAACCCAGACCAACTCTTTTACGTTTCCTATGTGCAGTCACCACAATAGCTGCTATCTTAATTACACTAATGGTTTGTGTTGTACTTGAGTAAGAGTAAAACTGCCTGGCTGCTGCCCACCCATAAAACCAGAGATTAATTATCATACAAACCAAAGATCAATCTTCTGGGGGCTTTAAATAAATAAACTAAGTACATATCCTGGGAAATTCCATCAGGCCTAAAGTGAACAAACACATCCTAGGCCTGCTTTCTTGTAACCACCTCCTCTTGGCCATGAAATAAAGTCAAAGGCTGGATTTAAGGGACAGAGAGCATGTTTTGGTGAGCAGAAGCACCAGGGACAAGATCAGTGCTCTCAGTGAACCAAATTCTATTAGTGTGGCAAAGAGGTCTCACCTTTTTGGTATGTTGACCATGAAAGGTGTGAGTGAGCGATCAGTGAAGTAGAGCACTTTGGTGCAGGCACTGCTGCTCATAGTGGGTGTGCTGTGAGAAGGCGGCAATTCTGCAAAGAGAGAAACACAAAGCACTGTCACTGCAGCCAAGAGAGGGCACTGTTTTCTTTCCAATCCTGTTCCCCCTAGAGGTATTATCATCATCATCTCAGCATAGGAGCAGAGATGGGAAATAGCTATTAGATGATGGAAAGACCTGTTAGATCCCCTCTCCAGGGCAGGATCTTGCCCCTTTATAGAAAGACAATGCACTGCAAGGTGAGCATTACAATGTTAGCCTGAAGGGGCACCCTATTTATGCCCCTGGGATAATGACACACAGCCCAATGCACACAATACACGCAGCGCACCACCTGCACTACAGGTACTTTGCCTGTTGTCTTTGCAGTGACTGGAGAATTCTAGCTCATTCCAAGAGAATCATCACAGTGACAGTCCTTCTAGCAGCTCAGAGGTGAGGGAGGAACACAATATAAGTGGTTCTCATTCTGCTCATCTTCACTGACAGAAAAGGCGGAGCAATAATTGATTGACATCTACAGGTCAAGAGGTCATATATCAGCTCAGCCCCACTGACTCAGAAAGGTGCAACAGACACAGTCCCCTGCCCTTCTGCCCATACTACATAGACTAGGGAGGTGTCTGTGTACATGGTAGGTTTGTTAACACGTGTGTCTCTTTTTCTGATTGTGCCAATACCCTCCCAGTCCCTGCAATGAGGGTGTGTCAATGCCAAGGGCCTAGACAGGGAAACTTTACACCGTGAGACCTCTCTGGTTTTTGATCTTCACATGTACACAAAGAAAGCAAACGGCAAACTGGGACATCAATCACAAGGGATTTCTGGCCATCACCTTGAGCTCTTTACACCAAGCAATTCTGGGTTTGTGGTTGTTGATGCCTGAATAATTTGACTGCTCCAGTTGAGTGGAAGGTGCCTGCAGGGGCTTTGGGAGGCGGGTGGGGCATGTTTTGCATGCATTGGGCTGGTGACATGGAGGCTGCTACAGGAACTGCAGCTTTAAATAAAAAGGCAACTGTAGGTGACTTGTCAGCAGAAGCCACATCCGGCTCTTAATCTAGACATTATGTGTCCTTAATTCTTTTGTTAACTTCTCCTGTGCCTTCCCCTCCCCTAAAATCCTCCTGGTGCTGAGCACTGCAATGTCGTTTAAAAGTGGGACTTCTACCACTGTTTAAAAGTGGGGCTTTTTATTTGTCCCCACCACCAACAGGCAGTGTTCTCACTGCCATTGTGAGAGTCCAGTCTTTTCAAACCAATGGATTTTTCAGGTTATATTGACAACCGACCCCAGAAAAGCAGTTCCCATGATGAAGAGGAAACTAACGCTGTTCATGTCAGGCAAATGCAGTGACTGGGGAAAATGCTGTGCTACTATGTACTTGTTAAATCCTGGTCTAAGGGATGGTACTCATGGCCACTAGGTGGTGCAAGCCCTCAATGCAGCCAACTATAATTCTGAGGGAAGATGGCATTTGCCCCTGAATCCAAGGAGTAATTACTGACTACTATTATTTATATTGTGGCAGTGCTTGGGGATTCCATTCAGGATCAGGCTCCCATTCTGCCTGCCCACAGCACCTTGCACTGAATTTAGTCTGTAAAGCAAACAGCCAAGGCACCACAGTACAGCAATGGAGAGGCCAGACTGTTCTGCTTCCCAAGAGGGACATGCAGCAGTGAGCTCTGTCTAGGAAACCTCTGAGCCGTGAAGCCAATATCTGGAGTGACAGAGCTGAAATGCACTCACTGGAGTTGGGAGGCCAGGAGTCCCGATACTCATTCGCTCCTTGGCTGGCGGGTGACTTCCCTTGAACCTATGAGGAAAGCCAAGAGAGTGAAGGCAAAGGGTAAGTTCCCAAGCAAACTGGCCAGGGAAGGAAAATGTCATGAAACAATTTATAAGAACCTTCTTCTGCCTGACACACGCACGCACACAGAGCCTGTGGGTGGTGGGGACCCTGACACACACAACACACAAACACGTCCCCCCCTCGCTCCAATGCAGACACACAGAGAATCCCAAAACATACAGATTTCGCCAAGACACCTGCTGCAAGAAATGACATTTAAATGTAATCAACATGAATATTTTCTCCTAAGATGATAGGAGCTCGATTCACACAGCCTCTCCCATTGCTGCAAGAAATGACATTTAAATGTAACCAACATGAATGACTATTTTCTCCTAAGACGATAGGAGCTCAGATTTCACACAACCTCTCCCACAGCTCAGAGAGGCAAAGTGCCTCCATTTACAACTCTTTACTGGGGTTCAGCATGGCCTGTAGTCCTTAACAAACAACAGTCAGAGCAGAGTCTTTGGAGTCAGATTCACCAGGACTTTGAATGTTTTGGGTATCTATCTATTGACCTCGATTTTTATCTGCTTAGGTTTAAGTACCCATTCTCCAGATGCTTGATGATGCTCTGTCTCCCACCCTCCTCCCTTTTTCCTTTCTCTCCCCTCTCCTATTTATTTCGAGTTTTCATATCCCCAACTCATAACTCCGGTCATCTGAAGAAGTGGGCTGTGTCCATGAAAGCTCATGATACCATTTACATGTTTTGTTAGTCTATAAAGTGCTACCAGACCATTTGTTGTTTTTTCTGTAACAGACTAACTCGGCTACCCCCCGAAGCTCTTGAATGTCAGTGTTTACTTTTTGCACTGTCACTCTTCTTGCAGACATGGAATAGACCTCAATAAAGAAACAACACATGGGTTGGACTGATTAAAAATGCCAACCCAACCCTGCTCTCAGACAAAGACAAACTAACCCTGGGTACTTATAGGTCAGCAAGTATGTGCTTCCAAATACCACTGTGCAGCACAACAGAGTCCAGGCGGCAGCAATGACAGCACATAATGGTTTAGTAGCAGCTTACAGCACTCTGCAAACGTGAGCCACTTAATCCTTACAGTTCCAACACTTGACTTGATCAGTGGCGCTCAACCTTTCCAGATTACGTTACCTCTTTGAGTATGATCTGTCTTGTGTACCCGCAAGTTTCACCTCACTACTTCCTTACAAACTCAGACATAAAATGCAAAAGTATCACAGTGCACTACTACTGAAAATTTGTAGACTAAGAAAAGTATCACAGTGCACTACTACTGAAAATTTGTAGACTGTTAATTTGTAGACTGTTAATTGTATCAGTTAATTGAACAGTCGAGTAACCTCATGAATTCTTATAGGTTAGTCGACTATTCTATAGTCCCTGGGGGCAAAGCCAGCATCCAGTGTGCCTCACTCCCAAGTAGCCCCCTGCCACTCCATGCTGCTGCCTCGGTATCAGAGGCAACAGCGTGGGGTGCCAAGCAGGAGCTGGTCTGAGAGGGGAGCCAGTTTAAAAATCATCTCCCACTGCGGACTGGCTACCTGTCACCCTGTGCTGTTGCCTCTGATAAAGAGGCAGCAGTGCAGGGTGGCAGCAGCCCTTGTCTATGGGGGTTCTGAACTCCCAGACCCAGTATGAGCCAGGATGGAGCTGGGCTGCCTGCCTGCCTGGCTCATAATGCACTTTAAATGTAGTCACAGCTTGCGTCCTGGACCCGTCGCAAGCCAGGACGGAGCTGGGCTGCTGGCCAGCCTGCTAAAAAAATTTACTGGCAGGAGGGGAGAGGGGAAATACGTGTAGTCTATAGCTTTGACCTATAACCTTTTGCTTATCAGTTAATCGACTACGCTATTACATCCCTAATGTTTACTACATAATTATAAAAGAAATCAACTGCAATATAAATACTATACTTTCATCTCTGTGTAGTATAGAGAGCAGTACAAACAAGCCATTGTTTCTATACAATTCTAGGTTCTACTTTGCTAGTGCTTTTTATGTAGCCTGTTGTAAAACTAGGCAAATATCTAGAGGAGCTGATGAACCCCCTGGAAGATCCCTGGGTACCGCCAGGGGTATGTGCACGTCTGGTTGAGAGCCACTGGACTAGATGACTGCTTCTCAGTGATGTAAGAAGCACATCTTACCATTAGGCCTCCAGTGAGAGCAGAGATGTGAGGTACAGTAATGAAGCACCATCTGCTGCGGCCTATGGGTTCCCCCAGGGCTGGCTAAAGTCCTTAGGGGCCCTCCATCTGACACAGTCTAGGCTTCTTCAGGATTCAGTGAGCAAAGGGACCACATGATCATCATGCTGCAGGAAGAAATGTGAGGGGAAGGAGCAATCCCTGGATGCAAGCCCTGATTAGTCAGAGCAGGTGGAGGGAAGAAGCCAAGCCCCGTGGGGAATGTTTACCCTTCTCTCTTGCCTCTTCTGTGTCTCCACGCGGTGCAGTCTCTCCATCAGGCTGGAGATGCCTTGTTCCAGGCTGTCGATAGTGTGGTGCTGAGGGTCGTGGCCGCTGAAACTGTTCCGCAAGCTGCGCAGGGCATCGCGCACCAACTGCAGGTCATTTGTCTGCCCAAGAGACCAGGAGAAGTCAGCCAATGGAGGGATTCAGAGCCGCAGGGTAAGCTCCCTCCCTCCTGGCAGTGCAGCTTCTCTCAGGCCCCAGGGACTCTCCAGGGCTTCCGCTCTCCTTATAGGCTGGCAGTGGCAGAGGGAAGGATGCTGATCGGATTCCTGAGCTAGCTCTGGCTAAGCAGCAGAGTACCTACCACTCTGTGGGCCGTGGGAGCAGCTCCTTTTCCTGCTGTCTGGAGGAAGCCATTGCTCTGAGTGCTGTGATTGCTGTAGCCCATCACCTGTTGCAAGGAGAAGACACTTGACTCTCAGACGTGTGAGCGGCAGGGAAAACAGCTGCACCAACAACCCAGCCCCATTCCGCAAGGGACAGAAATTCACTCCTAAACAACACCCCCTCCCCACACCGGAACCTAAGCCAGTGTAATGATTCTCATTTTGCAGATGGGGAAACTGAGTCAGGGATGGGCAGTAACTTGCCAGACAGCCACAGAGGGAATCAGTACCAGGGCTGGAATTAGAATCCAGCAATTCCTGTTCCCCCATCCAGTGCTCAGACCACTGGGCTTCGCCCCTTGTCAAGCTGATGAGAGAAACTGAATAGGTCTGAACTTTCCCAGCTGAGCTGTGGCAAAGAGCAGCCCCCACAGCAGCTCTGGCTGTGATGTCCCAGGGAGCCTGGCCTCTCTGGGACGGAGGGGTGCCCCGGGGAGCTTGGCACTGGATTCTAGCTGCACATTACATAACGTCAGGCACAGAACAGCATTCCAAGAACCACGCACCTCTTCTGCCTCTCTCTTCATGCACTGAGCCAGCAGGGCCTCCTTGTGCTCCAGCTCCCGCTGCAAATCTGCCTGCAAAGGGAACAGAGAAATCAGCGGGAACTGAGCTGACCAGGCTGGCAACAGCTTCTCAAGGGCAGGGCATGTTTGCAGGCTCTGTACCTGCTGGTAGCTGGCTTCAGAGAGCTGACGGAGCATTTCATCGAGCTTGGCCTGGTGCTGCTGTAAGTGCCGGTCCTTCTGGCCCAGCTCCTTCTGCAACCCAGAGAGTTTGGAGACATCAGTGTGTGAGCAGGTGATGAAGGCTCACCCTAACCTTCCTCGGGAGCAGGGAAGGGTAAAAGCAGGGACAGCCTGTCTGCCTTAAACTCCTTATTCTCACTGTACTTTAAGGCCTTGTTTGAAAGGGTCCATCTGACCCTGGGCTACAGACATGCCACAGACTCAGCACGGAGGCCAGCAGCACACCTGATCGATTGGCCCAGAATTCATTAAGGCCCCAAGGCTAATTGAAGGACATAGATGCTACGGGCAGTAGGTAAGCATTGTGTGCAAGGTGGATCCCAAAGTAACCCGATGACCACTGTGAAAAGCACTGCTCTATGCAGAGTCCCCCAGGTGGCAGGCGCCTTCCAGCACTTCTTAAGCTGAGCAGCCCCACTCCAAAGGATTACCCAGAAACCCCTTGTTATTGCTATTTCTTCACAGTGATAGCCCAATGGAGGTGACAGAGCATACGTGCAGACAGAGAGGGCAGGAGCTCTGTGGGAAGAATGTTCCCTGGGCTCTGCCAATCTCCACGCCACTGGGTTGGCTGTTTCCTTACTTTGTATTCTCCCAGAAGTCTGTTCCTCTCTTCAACCTTCCTCTGCAGATCAACCTGCAGACACAAAATCGGGGAGAGAGGTTTGTATCTCAGGATAAAGACCGCCATGGGGTGTAGGTGCATAGAGTAACAGAGCCTGAGGTGAGCAGCAATGAAGTTACACACAGAGATATTCAGGGCAGTAGGCGGTTCTCTTGGATATGGCAAATATACTGCCCCCTCCTTCGTTCCTGCTGCCTCTTCAATACTGATTCTACACACGTGCTCTCTCTGCCAAACGTCACTTGCCTTTAACACATGGAACAGAGATAAAGGGACCACTGCAGCTTTAGCTCAGTCAGAAAGCTTCCCTTTGTTTCAACCAATGAGGAGAGCCTCTGGAGGATGGGGAAGAAGAGGAGGAACCCTCCTGAAAGCAGAGGAAGGAGCAGAAGAGTCCACTGAGTCTGACTACAGGCCACTGGGTTTGCATGGCACTGTTTCCACTGCACAGCCCTGTGATCACTGCTCCATCTATCCCATGACTCATGGACCTATGCGGTGACTACTAGGCCTTCTGCTCTGCTCTCAGACCCTGCAGTATTCAGCGATCCTCCCCAATACGTGTGACGCTGTCAGAATTAGCAGCGCAAATGACTCACATTCTGGTTGTGCAATTCCTCCTTGTCCATATTTGCTCTCAGAAGCTCCTGCTTTAGCTGAAGAACTGAAGCATCCTGCTGGGCCAACCTCTGCTGCAATGCATCCTGGGAAAATACACGAATTACTGTTAACACAGCACCATTGGTGTGCGGAGAGCAGGCAGGCACCCTGCCGCGAGGAGCGGCTGATCTACATTTGATAGATAACATAGTGAAAATGACAACAAGCCCAGGGGACACAGAGTGACATGCAGAGTGCCAGACTGTGGCACAGGGACCAAGATGAGTCCTGACACCCCAACAGGAGACGTGAAGGTATCTGCCCAAACAAGCTCGCAGGCCTAATACAGTGTTGCTGCCTGCTGCTGGATTCTCTGTCTTTAGCCAGCGGTCATAATCTCTGAGCAATCTCGGTGTTTCTGCTTGAATTTCCGGCTCAGGCATGGGACCATCAAACTTCCCCAATTGGGAGAAGCAGCTGTGCGTTTGGAGGCTCTTTTTGATGGTCCGGAGCCAGCGCCCCGCGTCTATTGCCTGCACCACCCATAAGCGAGAAACAGGCAAACATCAGTCAAGCGAGCAAGCCTCCGATGTGAAAAATTCACGCTGCCCATTGAGGCATAACAGTGTTGGCAACTCCTCTCTGAATGTGTCTCTGGAGAGCCAGGATCCAGGCCTGAATCAGGATCCACCCCTATACTTTTCCATTGCTATTATTGTGCAGCCAACAGCTCCACGTTGGGCAGCCTATTGCTTTCTCCACAACACAGGATGACAGGCAGCTCTAAAAATACCTCCAGCTCAGAAGCAGATTATTACAGCACCCGTACTCTAGAGCCGTGGTCACCAACCCATCAATCGCAACTGAGGGATCAACCAGTCGATCGTGAGGCGTTCGGGCTCCCCACCCCCAACAAGCCCCACTACCTACCTCCAGTGACAGTGGAGGTAGTGGCAGCTTCCTGTAGGGTGGACAGAAATCCTGCAGCTGTACCTGCAGCTGTGCGCTGGCTGCTCCCCTTCCCCAGGTCTGTGGCATGCTGGGAACTTGCCAGGGGGAGGGGAGGGAAGGGAGGGAAGGGAGTCCCCAGAGGAGGTGCACACCGGGGCTTCCCTGCTCTGCGGGAAGGAGGGGGAGGAGTCCCGGGAGGAGGCAGGTGCGGGTTACTCCTTGTTCTCTACCCCCTGTCCCCAGCAACACCCTGTCCCCTGCCCCCCACTGACACCCTGTCCCCACCCCAGAACCCTGTCCCCTGCCCCAGCATCCACTAGCACCCTTCCCCAGTACCATGTCCCCTGCTCCCACCAGCACAGTTGGGGCCACATTAGCGAGGCTTGGGGTTTTTTGGAGGAGTTATTTTTTTGCATCTCACTTGTGTGGCCCCCAACTGATTTTTCTGTGGGTCAGTGACCCCCGACTCAAAATAATTATAAATAAAAACAATGCAGAAACTTTGTGTGTTTGACATAGTATTTTATTTAAAAATGAAGCCTGGCCAGCAAACCCTTAATTGGGGCCAACCCCCCATCTGGCCGCAGCATCATAACACTCCTGCACGCCCCCCGCAATCCTAGATCTGAGCCTATCAAACACTGGACCCCCCCTGCCCTGAGCCCCTCACATACCCCAACCCAAATTCCTGCAACCTGACATCCAAAAGCCTGTGGCTTGCCTAGTACCCCAACCCTCCATCTGACCCCAACGCTCCCCAGCCTGGAGCCAAGCCAGCGCCCCTTCTTCACCTCCTCCTGCATCCAGATTTCTTCCCGGAGCTTGCACCTCTCACCCCTTCCCACCCCCAAATCCCTCATTCCCACCCCAGAGCCCACACATCCTGTCTCAACCCAGTGAGGGTTTGGCTAGACTGCAGGAGTTTCTCCAGGATTCCAGAGATATCCCGGAAAAACTCTTCCACATCCAGGGACGCGTTTGTTCTTCCGCTTTTTTTAGTGGAAGAGCAAACATGCTCTTTTGGTAACCCGTGTATTCCTTGTTCCATGAGGAATAAGGGGGCTTCCGAAAGAAAGGGTTTTTTTGACAATTGGTCCAGATTTTTCCTATAGAAGAATCAGAAAAAAAAGCAGCAGTGTAGAGTCTATAAAGGCTGGGGATAGCAAGTGCTGGAGAGGAGAACAGACGGCGGGGCTTCAAGGAAGGGGTGGGGTCTTGGGAGAAGGATGAGGTGGTAGATCTTGGCTTGTTCTGACATTTAAAAAGTGATCTTGAGTGTAAAAAGGTTGGAGACCACTGCTCTAGAGGGAGGTGCTGGGCAAACAGGAACACAAACAGCCAAAAAGCTGCCCCAGCTAAGGAGGGCATCTGCACATGCCATGGCTTCCTCTCTGCTGCCAGGAATAAACCAGTCCACCCCCACTAACCTGTACCACATTTATTTTTAGGAGAGCAGGGCTAACAGGCCACAAGAAGCACCATTCACATACCTTGTCCTACCCATCCCTTGGAGAAAGTATGAACCAAAGAAGAATGTGATTTAGCTAAGGTCACAAAGACAGTCAGTGAAAGAGCCAGCTGTCCTAACTCCCAGCCCCCTGCTCTGAGCATATTCACTTCCCAGTGCCAGGAACAGAATCCAGGAGATCCACAAGAATGATTAATGATTAGAAAGCGTATCTTGTAGGCATAGGCTGAAGGAACTCAATCTCTGCAACTTAATGAAGAGAAGCTTAAGGTGTGATTCAATTACAGTCTATACATATCAAACATTTTGATAATGAGATCTTTAATCTAGCCGAGAAAGATCTCACACAATCCAATGAGTGGCAGCAGAAGTTAGGCAAATTCAGGCTGGAAATAAGGCATATTCAGACTGCAAGGGTAATGACCCACCAGAACAATTCACCAAGGATCACGGTGGAATCTCCATCACTTACAAATTGTCAGTCAGGATGGGATGTTTTCTGAAAGATCAGCACCAGGAATTATTGTGGGGCAGGTCTCTGGCCTGTATTGTGAGGGAGGTCAGATTAGATGATCATAGCGGTCTCTTCTGGCCTTGGGCTCTATAAAGCTATGAGTCCTGACTCCCACAGGCCCTACTCCATCCTCTGAGGTAAGCTGAGAGGTATCATCTTTCCCCTGGCCCCTCTGATAGGCTCCCAAAGTTTACTGTTAACTATTTAACTGATTCTCGTCTCACCTTTATGCCTTGTAGGTTTCGTGCCTCTTGTTTATGTTTCAGTAATTCCTTCTGTAAATCCAACACACGTTGTTTAAATGGCAGTTTTGTGTCAGCCCAGAAATAACCCTAGCCCTCCCAACACTGGGTCACTAAGACACCCTCTTTGGAATACAAAAAAAAAACACCCAACTCCTCCAGCAGACCAAAAACCACTTTGGACGAGGAAGGACCCATTTTAAAGAGTTTACAAACTCAGGTGTGTCCAGACTACAGGATTTTGTCAACAAAAGTGGACTTTTGTTGACAAAACTATACCTGCGTCTACAATGCCGCCGAGTTCTGTCGACAGTAAGTCGATAGAACACGGCAGTTTTGATGTCATCAGTAAACTTCATTCTACAAGGAATAATGCCTTTTGTCGACAGAGTTCTTTTTCAAAAGAGAGCATCTAGAATCTCGGGCGAAAAAGCGGCTTGCTTTCTCGACAGAACTGGCTGTAGTCTAGATGCTCTTTGTCAACAGAGGCTTTGTCGACAGTATCTGTCAAAGCCTCTGTCGACAAAAGCCTGTTGTCTAGACATACCCTCAGTGAGAGAAAACTCTTTCTCCGTGAAACACCTGTCGAGCATCCATAGCTCTCAAACTCTTTATATTAAATTGCAGAAATAAAGATTGAAACCCGCCCCCCAAATCTACACTTTGGAGTATTGCTGAGCACTTTGCTTCCAGCTTTAGTGCTGGGCCACAGCCAAAATCAGTGTAAAGCACCAGAGAGACCGGCTTGACAAGAGGGTTTTTCTTAGCTGCTTTTATCTTCCACATGAAAGCTTGTTTACATTCAGACATGGCTAGAAATTTAATGATTGTCCTGGATAAAGTTCTCTCAATGCAGCACGATCTGCATCTCTTGAGAAAGGCTCCAGCTCGAAGAACGTGCAGAGAAGTCTATTCAGGGCTGGACTTAATTTAAATAATTGTTTGGTGTTTTGTTGTAAAGGAAAGCAGCATTGACAGCATTATTTAGAGGCAAATTGGATGAAAAGGGGGCATTTCCCCAGGTTCTACCCCACACTAGCTTACAACATGAATGGCCATGAAAGCGCTCATTCATGCATAATAATAATGTCATAAAGCACTTCCCATGTGAGAATCTTAAAGCAGTTTCCAAATTCAGCTCACTCATTCTCACAGCCCATTGGGAGGAAATGATGAATCCATTTTAAAAATTAGGAAACTTGAGGCACAGAGAAGTTCAGTGACATACTCAAGTTCACACTGCATGACAGCAGCACAGGGCTGACTCCCAGTCATCCATGTGCAACAACATTCCCTCCCTATGCTTAAACTAGAGAGCTATACTTTACATGTAGAAAAGAAGCTGCCCCCAAGGAACCCAACCCTGATAACCATTCATTGTCTTTAGCTGTCCTCTTCTAACCTTTAGGTCCTGATTTTCATCCATGCTCTGGTCCAGGCGACTTCGGATTATGACCTGAATGCAAATGCACTGCAATTATTTCCCATCCTCTGGCTGACACCAGTGCCCAAAGCTGACTGGAACTAGATTTTATGGGAAAATAATGTGCTTACCAGCTGCTCTTCTGGGCAGGCTCCATGTTCACAAAGGACAAATGATCCCTCTTGCTCATCCTCAGGTAAAGACCCATTGAGCAGCAATGCCTAGAAAACAGCAAAGGCAAAAAGAATCCCTAATCAGGTAATTTCTTGGAAAGCCATAAGGAGAGACTCAATCCCATTGCCACCGCTTTAGCCTGCAGCATTTCACAGCAATCTGGACCAAACAGCCTCTAAACTATTTCCTCTATCATTTCTGCTGACATGTTACTGAACAGAAATGGGGGGTTGTTTTGAAACAAACAAAATATGTCACAATGTCCCCAAGGAGAGATCCACAGCAGAGAAGTCTGTTGGTGACAGGTGACAGGATGTAAGTGGCTAGTCGAGTAGTTGACTACAGTGAGCCCTCGCTACTTCGCGGTTCGACCATCGCGGATTCACGACTTCGCGGACTTTTTTCATTACATTATGTATATACGTGAATCCGCGATGGTCGAACCGCGAAGTAGCGAGGGCTCGCTGTATACATGTTAAATATACATGTCCCTACTTCGCGGATTTTCAACTATCGCGGTCGGGTTTGGAACCTATCTACCGCGATAAACGAGGGTTCACTGTACCCGATAAGCACAGGCTTATTGTGTAGTCGAGTTGACTACTCACTACTCACCCTGGCCCCCCGCTGCCCCTGTATCAGAGGCAGCAAGGTGAGGGAGCAGGAGCCAGTGCTGGGGGGAGCCAGCTTAAAAGCTGTCCCGGAGCTGTCCCGGAGCCGGGAGCTAACACTGCTGCAGCTCTGCACTTCAAATGTAGTAAGAGCCCAGTGGCTCTTTCTACATTTAAAACCCAGAGCCACAGCGGCGGTAGTAAGTGCCCCTTCTTATTGGCTAATTGAGAAGTCAATGGAAATGCCATCAATTACTTGATTAGCTAATTAATCATTACTTAACATCCCTACGGCATATGCAACTCCATCAAAATGAAGGGGAAATCTGCACCAAACTAGGGTAGCCCTTTTTATGAGCCATGTTTGTCTTGGGTTTTAATCCACGTTGCATAAAATCACCTGTTAAAGACAGAGAGTATATACAAAAACTGAAGGAAAGAAGCTGAAAGCTAGGCAGGGATTTGCTGCAAGAGACTCTCTACTGCCCCGACGAGTGTGAAATGTGTCCAAGGCATCAAACAATGCATATTTAATTTTAAAAAATAAGCGAGTCTTTCAGTCAATGGACATTCTAATTTCAAGGATATTAGAAGGTGGGTACCTCAGGATGCTATCTGAGTGCAGTCCCAAAGTTTGCCCAGTTAGGATATCTAAACAGGAGTAACACTGGGACAATGAAAGCTGCACAGGGCTTCAAGATTTCAAGCCAACCCTCACAGTCCAGAGGCTTTTAAATATTGAGCAAGAAAGGGAAATCAATCAGTCCATCAAATCCAGTTTCTTAGACAGCTGTATCAGCTCCCTCCTCCTGTTTCTGAGGAGGGCAGCAATGCCAGCTGCCTTCCCTTGAGCCCAAAGTGTGTTGAGGGGACAGTGCCAGTCTCTCCGGCGCTGCCTCCTCTGCTCCCGGTGGGTGCGTTATGCAAGCAGATTGCACTAACCATCTATTTTCTTTTGGAATCTTTTGCATCCCCTGCCCTTTGTCAGCTGGGAGCACGCCTGTGTGCTGCTCACACAATGCGGGCTTTGTTGGCTGGTACATAAATATTTACAATTCTAAATGACTGCCGTTCCCAGCGCAACAGAAAAGGGTATTGCTGGGAGAGTTCAGGGTCTTTGCCATATGGAGCAGGGAGTCTGCTCAGTGAGCAGAGTCACACAAAGGCACAGAGGCGAGGGTCATCTCGTCAGGGAAGGACTAGAGCTGCCAGGGCAGCTAGAACAAGGTCCTATAGAG